GAGCCTCGAGGATGATCTCGACGATCTCCTTGACCTGCGTCCGCTTCAGGTCGTGGTTGTGAATGTTAAAGATCTCCATGCAAATCGGGCCACACTCGACGGTGACCCGCAAAACACGACCAGGCACGAGAGCCACCGCATGACTTCGCACACGTTCTCCAGCTGCCTGACAAAACTGGGGAAGAAGAACGGCCACACCCCCACGGACACGGTCCGCACCTGAGTCACCACAGAACGATGAGTGCACTGTCAGCGACTCTCCCAAAGGGCCGAGGAACTCACGAAGTTGAAGAGCGTCCTGCCTGACCTCCTGCAGGCACACAATGGAGCGAGCGGGTTGGAGGCGAAGTAGGTAGTTGAATTTGCGGGCGCCATTCTTGCCAGCGTGCTGGAGCAATGCCCGCGCATTCCACGTGACAACCCTCATGGCAGACACCGGCGAGGCAGGAGAAGGTGATGTACATGTGAACAATTTCCAAACGTCAAAGGCACCACTGCGGTTCCGCCTCAGGCTCGACATGGGGGGCGAGCAGCGACACGAGCTCGGCTTTGACAAGGTCGTGCTTGGCGAGCTGCTGGTTGTCCCAGTAGAACTCGGCGGGCTTGTTGCCAGGATTGACTTCCACACGCATGATACGATCCCATCCAATGGATAGCGTGGCGCGCTCTCTGTCGGTGAACAGTCGGAGGTTCGGGTGACGTTCGGCAATGATAGCACGTGCTCTCCGCAACAGAATCTCGCAGCGAATCTGGCGTGGCGACTTGTCGGGGCCCAAGTGGATGCGGCAGCGAGGGCTGCCAGGGACCTCGACAGTGAACTCCTTCCAGGTGCCATCACTGCGCAGGGCGCCAAGCACCTTGGCCACCATCCTGGACGCGACGGCAATGAGGCCCTTGAAGCGGATGTGGAACTTCTTGGTCGGCACAGGGCCGACGGGGACCAGGTCGTAGAGGTCGTCGGCGAGGCCGAGGGAGGAGATCCAAGGGCGTAGTTCAGCTTCGACACAGGCAGTAGTAGTAGGGCGTTGGGCCATGGCCACGACCAGTGAAGCATCCACCTCCCTGTCGAAACCCCTCGGCTGGGTGAGCGGAGCGCGCGGGCGCTGCTCGGCCAAGTGGAGCTCCTTCCTGAGCGCCTCCATCTGGGCAAGGACGTCCTGCATCTGGGCCTCGACCTTGGACACGCGACCGTCGGTCTCGTTGATCTGCGTCTGCTGGGCGTCGAGCTCTGCCTGGAGACGACGCGAGGTGGTGTCAAGCTGGGGGCGGACAATCGAGAGGATCTTCTGGTCGAGGTCTGCGGGAGGCTGCGCCAGCTGGGCACGAAGCTGGTCCAGCAGGTCGGTGGTTGGCTTGTTCTGCACTTCAATATTCTGCTTGATGGTGTCCGTAAGGGACTTGCTGATGTCGATGGCGAGCTCTTCACGCATTCTGGCCAGCATGTCGGCGCAGCACTGCTTGATGTAGTCCTCCGAGGCGTCGTCGTCGTCGTCGAGGCGCGGGGGCATGTCGTCGTCCACGACCGTGGCAGCGGGAGAACCGTGAGGAGGAAGAGCACGCCGCTTGCGAGCAGCGCAGCTGGCAGTGCGCGGAGGAGCGGAGCCCTTGCCTTTGCCCGCCTTGCTCTCCTGGGACGGGAAGGTCGGCATGGACTCAAGCATCTCAGCCTGGGAGACGGAAAGTTCGCACTCGGCGGCGCCATCAGCCATCGGTGGTGGTCTGGACGGGACAGGGAAAGAGTAGGCGGGGGCCCAAGTCCCGCAGTAAAGGCCGAATAAGAGTGCCAGGGACAGGCGGACAGTGGATGCACGTGGCCTCAAAGCGGAACCTCCCTCGCGCTCTGAGGACGCCACGAGAGACTCGCGGTCGTCGGGGCGGTTCATAGCCTTGAGCCAAAATGGCTACGGAGGAGGAGGAGGAGGAGGAGGAGGAGGAGGAGGATGGGGAGGAGGAGGAGGGGAAGGAGGAGGATGGAGGAGGAGGAGGAGGAGGAGGAGGTGGGGGAGGTGGAATGGGAGAGGGGGAGGGAGGAGGTGGAGGAGGAGGAGCGAGGAGGAGGGAGGAGGAGGAGGATGAGGAGGAGGAGGTGGAGGAGGAGTAGCGAAGGAGGAGAATGAGGAGGAGGAGGGAGGAGGAGGGAGGGGAGGAGAGGAGGAGGATGAAGGAGAGAGGAGAGAGGGAGAGGAGAGGAGAGGCGAGAGGAGAGGAGAGAGAGGAGAGGAGAGGAGAGAAAAGAACGGGAGGAGGCGACAGCGGCGATGACGATCGGCCGAGCGGGGTCTGCTGAGCTCGGGGCTATCCGGTTCAGGGCGCAGAACTTCTCTACCTCTGCGGAGGGGGGCGGCTCGGGGCTCCAGCGCCGCCCCGTTCGGTCCCAAGGCCGTCCACAACTGAGCATCGTCTAACCGATCCCTATCCCCACTTGTGTGGCCTGGGCCCCACTGGCCGATTTGCCCCCCTCGATGGCGATGTAGGCTGCTCCCTTCGGGTTTCGAGGGGTATATCCCCAACTGGGGTGGTGAGATGGTGGGTCTCGGAATGGGGATGGGGATGTGGATGGGGATCGGTTAAACGATACTGAACAACGACACAATGATCGGAGACCGACGGAACCGACAACGAAACCGAACCCGACCGAAGCCGACTCGACAAGCAGAAGCCGGGAAGGACGTAATGACGCGGCAACGACGCAGCAACCGACTGCACCAAACCGAACCGACCGAACGCAACCGACTGCGAAGCAGCCCAGCCGACCAAACTGCGGACACCCGCGGTCCTCCCCAGGCGCATTCTGCATGAATGTCATCCCCTCCTCGTTCCTCTCTACTTCCCCTTTTTCGTCAGCGTACCTGCCGCTCTCTCCCCCCTCCTACCTCGTCCTCTTCCCCCTCATGCGCGTCCTCCTCCTTCTCCTCCTTCTCTCCTCCTCCTCCTCCTCTTCCTCCTCCTCCTCTTCCTCCTCCTACTCTTCTTCCTTGTCCTCCTCCTCCTCCTCCTCCGCCTTCTCCTCCCCTGGAACCCCCTAAACATGCCAGCAGCCTCCAGAATCCGTGCTATTCTTCTAAACACCCTCCTCCAGCTCCCATGCCCTTTCTCCCCCACAACCCAGAGGAGGATGAGGAGGAGGAGGAGGAGAAGGAGGAGGAGGAGGAGGAGGAGGAGGGGGAGGAGGAGGAGGAGAACGACGACGACGACGACGACGACGACGACGACGAAGACGACGACGACGACGACGACGACGACGACGACGACGACGACGACGACGACGACGACGACGACGACGACGACGACGACGACGTCGCGCACCTCATTCAGCCAGTGACAATGTCAAGAGGAGGTGTGGGAGGACTCTGCAGACCGCAGACGTTATGATCTTCTCTCAACGGGAGACCCCCAGAGACCCCAATCCCTTCCCCAGCGCCGGTTGTTCACCCCCTCCGTCGCGTCGTATGCCCCACGGCGCGAAGTATGATGGAGGGGGAGGAGGAGGAGGAGGAGGAGGAGGAGGAGGAGGAGGAGGAGGAGGAGGAGAAAGAGGAGGAGGGAGGTGGAGGAGGAGAGAAGAAGGAGGAGGAGGAGGAGGACGAGGACGAGAGCGAGGAGGAGGAGGAGGAGGAGAAGAAATGCGACGGTGGAGGAAGGACGGGAAGCAGAAAGGAAGAGAGGGGGAGGAGGAGAGGGGTGAGGAAGAGGAGCCGGAAGGAGGAGAGGGAGGACTGGGCAGAAAGGAGGAAAGGGGGAGGAGGAGGAAGGAGCAGGAGAGCAGGAGGAAGGAGGCAGGGAGGGAAGGAGGAAAGGGAGGAAGGGAGGAAAAGGAAAAAAGAGAAGAAAGGACAGGAAGGCGAGATGGAGGAGGACGAGGGAGAGGATGAGGAGAGCGCGGATGAGGAAGGCGGAGGAGGTGGAGGTGGAGGAGGAGAGGGGGGCAGGAAGGCGGAGAGGAGGAAGAGGAGGAGGAGGAGAAGGAGGATGAGGAGGAGGTGTAGGCAGAGGAGGAGGATCTGTTGATGTCAACCATGGCGCAGCCCACATGCTCTAATAGAGGTGGGCGGTTCCTCAAAAGGGTCGAAGTCTGAGCACCAGCCCTGACTGAACAAAATGGCTGGCGCATGCTTCCCCCCAAAAAACGGATCCGACGAATTACGAGCAGAACAGCGGCAGCCGATGCCCAAGGCACAAGCCTGCGCCCACGCAGAGACAGAACGACCCAGCCAATTCAATTGATCGTATCTCGAGCTGGAGCCGTTCACATGCCAGGTGTCTCACGCTGCCTCTATGAGGCGCAGCGCGGGGAACACCGTGCGCAATACAGGAGGAAAAGGACCGAAGGGAGGAGGGGTGAGGAAGGACAATGACAAGAAAGGGAAGGCGGGAGGGAGGAGGAGGAGGAGGAGGAGGAGGAGGAGGAGAAGGAGGAGGAGGAGGAGGAGGAGGCGGAAGAGGAGGAGGAGAACGAAGAAGGGGGAGGGGAGAGGAGGGAGGATGAGGGATGGAAGAAGGAGCAAGCAGGCCAGCGACCTCGCTTGCATTGGGGTCCACTGGCTGTATGGGCGGCAGCGGCACGTTGGACGGGCCGGGGGCGAGGGTCCCGCGCCGCGCGTCGCGCATCCTCGCGGCCGAGGGGGCCAGGGGAGCGGGAAGGAGGACGAGGAGGAGACGAGGAGGAGAAGCACGAGGAGGGGGAGGAGGGTAGGACAAGGAGGATGAGGTGGGGCGAAGTGGACGGGGAGGGGACCGAGAGGACGAGGACGGTGAGGAAGGGGCCTGGAAAGAAACGGATGACTAGAAAGGAGACGAGGAAGGAGGAAAAGGACGTGAAACAAAACACGACAAGGGGCTTCCGTTGACTGTCAAGATGACGGCGAGACAGCGACGGCATTGGCATTGGCGACAGCAGCGGAATCAGAGACGGCAACGGCAGACGAAGATGACGACGACGAAGACGACGACGAAGGCGGCGGCGGCCGCTGCGTCGACGCTGGCAGAAGCCAGGGCGCTGGTTACTCTCCGCGCATCCTCGCGACGAGCACCCCGCTCGGGTCCCTGCAGCCCTTCAGGGCGCCGCGGTCGATCACCTTCAACTCCTCTAGTTCCTCCTCCTCCTCCTTCCTCCTCCTCCTCGTTCTCTAGTTACTCCTCCTCTCCTCCTCATCTATCAGCTCCTCCTGCTTCTCCTCCTCATCCTTTGCTCCTAATCCTCCCTCTTCTCCTTCTCCTCCTCCGGCTTCTCCCTCTTCTCCTTGTCACCATCCGTTTCTAGCCATATTCTCCTCATCCAGCTCCTCCACATCCTCATCCTCCTCGTCCCCAAAGCCCCTCGCATCCAGAAGTAAACACGACGGAATGTTATTGGCCGGTTTCGCCGTCATTCCCTGTCCACGGGGCGGTCGGAAAACGAACCCAGGTGACAAGTTCCCCTCCTTCCCCGCACGGGAGTATTAACCCGGGAATCGTGGCTGCGCTCCACTGGGGCCTTCGCGACGAGCGGCCCTCTTGATTCCCCCCCCTCCCTCCTGCAATCCCTCTCCCCCTCCCCTCCCTCCCTTGTGCCCTCGCTCCCCCCCCGTCCCTCTACGTTGAGAGGCGCTCCGTGACGCCAGAACAACTCTCCCCTCCCCCATTGCCAATGCATAATAACCAGCCTCACAACAAACATCCTTACGAACGAGGCCACTCGGCAAAGGCACCCACCGCGCCCCGCCCCCCTCTGGGCCCCCGCACAGCACCTGCAGCGCGATGTAGGGAGGCTCCTTCCTCAGCTGATTCGCGGACCCCGTGTCGACCGGGTTGGCCGCCAGGAAGGCCTCGATCTCTGTCGCTGCCGCCGCCGTCCGTATCTTCAAGCTCATCCCTGGGTAACGATATCGCTACTCCCTGGACCTCTCCTGGGTGCGTTCTGACCAGCATCTCGAGGCGAATCCAGCAGTGGCGACGAGGGATCCCCAGGAGGCCCGAAAGGAGGGAAACGAGGGAAGTGTAGCGGTATGGGTACGTTCTCCTCCTCCGAATCCCTCTGTACGCCTCCTCGTTGTCCTTCTCCTGCGCCTGTTCCTGCTGCTCCTCTCCCCACTCTCAGACACCTTCTGCTGCTGATGCTGCTCAACCTCCTCCTGATCATCAGCAATTCCCTCACCCCCCTGATAATTCTGCTCCCGCTGATCCACCCTCTGCTCCGCCTCCTCCTCCTGCTCCTTATCCTACTCCTGGTCCCGCTCCTGCTCCCCCTCCCCTCCTCCTCCTCCTCCTCCTGCTCCTGCTCCTCCTCCTCCTCCTTCTCCTCCTCCACCCATCCACCATCATCATCATCATCATCATCATCATCATCATCATCAGCATCATCATCATCATCATCATCATCATCATCATCATCATCATCATCATCAACATCATCATCATCATCATCAGCTTCATCATCATACTCGTGATCATCATCATCATCAGCATCATCATAAGCATCATCATATGCATCATCATCAGCAGCATCATCATCCTCATCATCATCGTCATCATCATCAGCACCATCGTCATCAGCATCACCACCAGCCTAATTATAATCATACTATGCTGCATCACCGTCATCATCATAAGTATGAGCATCGTCTTCATCGTCATCATCATCGTCGTCATCAGCAGCATCATCACCATAATCAGCACTATCATCAGCAAAATCAGCATCATCATCATCAGCATCATCAGCTGCACCAGTATCACTATCATGATCGTGATCGTCAACATCATCATCAGCATCAACATCAGCAGCATCAGTATTATCACCATAAGCGTCATCATCACCACCACGAGCAGCATCAGTAATATCGTGCGTCTCATCCTCAGCCCCATCCTCCTTCTCGCCCAGGCTGGTTAACCAGGTGGCCTCGATCTCCTGGGTCGTCATCTCGTGGATGATCCGCACCTCGCCGAGAGGGGCGGGAGAACGGATGCGGAGGGCGCAGAGCAGGCGCCTCGAGCGGGTCCCCAAAATGGACGAACCACGACAACGGGGGGAAGGGCGGGAGGGAGGGAGGGAGGGAGGAGGAGGAGGACGACGACGAGGGGAGGACGAGGAGGACGAGGAGGAGGAGAAGCACGATTGGGAGGACGACGACGAGTAGGACAACGACGGCGGCGAGGGGAAGAGAAGAAAGAGGAGGAGGAGGAGGAGGAGGACCGCGACGAGGGGACCAGGACTAGAAGGGATGCATGCATGGATGCATGAGGAAGAAGCGGAGGGGAGGAGCAGGATAAGGAGCATGATGATGACAAAGCTGATTATGATGATGCTGTTGATGATGCTGCTGAGAATGCTGATGGTGATGTTGATGCTGCTGCTGATGATTACGATGATGCTGATGATGCTGCTGATGATGCTGATGATAGTTCTGATGATGATGCTAATGCCGATGATGATGTTTATGATGCTGATGATGATGACTGTGATGGGGACGATGACGATGATGATGATGATGAATGGCTGATGATGATGATGATGATGCTGATAATGATGATGATGATGATGATGATGAATGATGATGATGCTGATTGATGATGATGATGATGATGTAATGATAATGATAATGATATTGATAATGATATGATAATGATGATGATGAGATGATGATGTGATGATGATGATGATGATGATGAGATGGTGATGATGATGATGATGATGATGATGATGATGATGATGATGATGATGAATGATGATGTGTATGATGAGTTGATGATGAGTGGAGGAGGAGGAGGAGGAGGAGGAGGAGGAGTGAGGAGGAGGAGGTGGGAGGAGGAGGATGAGGAGGAGGAGGAGGAGGAGAGAGGAGGAGGTGGAGGGAGGAGGAGGTGGAGGAGGAGGCGGAGGAGGAGGACGCTGAGAGGCGCGGGGGGCCGCGCCCGCGTCGGCCGCGTCGGGCGCTTCCGTGGTGCGCTCGCTCCGGGGCCCTCCTCGGACCCGAGGGTCGAGGGTCCCGGGGCATGCGGTACGCGGGAGCAGCAGCAGGGATGGGAGAGGACGGCGCCTCGTCCGCGGAGCGCTGGCGGTCATCGGACTCCGGGTTCCCGAGCCAGTACTGCTTCATGCCCGCCATGGCCCCGGGCCGCCGGGCGACTCAGTCAGGGGGCCCAGGCCAGGCGCACCGCATCACCAGCCATGCCTCGAGCCAGGAGGGGCTTTTTCTCGGAGGGGGGGCAGCAGAAGCAGCGGCGGGGGCAGCCACAGGAGAGGGGGGGTTGGAGGAGGAGCAGGGGCAGGAGCGGGAACGAGCGGAGCAGCGGGCTCGGTCCAGCCCGCCACGGGTGCAGCGGGCGGCAAACAGGACAGACCTTGCGCAAGCATGTCGTGTGCTTGCGGGCAGGCTCCCGAGCGTACGTGGCTCCGGGCTGCGGGCGATATCCGTCACCGCGCCGCCAGGCGGAGCGCCCCCCCCCCATCACCAAGTCTCGGAGCGACTTTGGCGTTCTCGCCTTTTTCGTCGTGGATTCGCAAATGTTCCCGCAACGATTTCAGCATTTCGCGCTCCACGAGTGTAGTGTTCCCTACGCTCCACATTGGCCAACGATGAACCCAAGACGGCGGCCAAAGAGGCCCCCAAGAGGACCCAAAGACGGCCTAAGAGGTTCGCAAGGAGGGCCCCGAGGGGGACAACCTGAATTTCGAGCTCTCCACCCCACGATGACCTCCGAGACCGCCAGCAAGCCTCAAGAGGCCCTCAACCCAATAGAGGCCTCCGAGAGGCCCTCGAGAGGCGTCCTAAGAGGCCCATCCAAGAGGCCTCCGACCCACAGCCCAGGCGCGTGATGTTCCTGAGGCCAAAAGATAAGACAGCCTTGATCCTGCTCGTTGGCCAAGGCACGTGCGAGGTAGAGCTGGCCATGTTCAGTGCAAAAGACAGTACAGGACATGTGGAGAGAGGAGCGACAAGACGCGAGGCCAGAACTCACACACACACACACACATACACACACACACACAACTGCTGGAGATCCCATCTCCCGGCACCCTAGGAGGTGGTGAATACCACCAGCCCTCGAGGGCGTGAGTGTAGAGCGTTTCCTCTTCCAGCTTCCCTTCCCCCTTTCCTCCCCTACACCCTCCCCCAGGATGGGGACGGAGCCTTTCGCGAGGTGTCCCACGGTCATTTTTTACACAAATCATTGATTCCACTACGGTGTTGGCCACATGTTAGCCTCCTGGGGGGGGGGGGGCGTGCTAATTTACTCTGCCTCCTCCTTTGATCGATCTCCTCCTAAATATCCTCAAGCTGGCCCCCGAGGCCCCCATTGGGACCCCCAAGACGGCCCCAAAACGTGCCCAGGAGGTCCCAAGAGGCCCCCTAGAGGCCCCCAAAAGGCTCCCAAGAGACCCCTGAGAGGCCCCGAAAGGCCCCCCAAAGGCACCCAAGACGCCCCCCAACAGGCCCCTGGGACTGCTGAGAGACCCCCAAGACGCCCCTAAAGGACTCCAAGAAGCTCACGAAAGACATCCGACGGGACTGCGAGGGGTATCCGAGAGGCCTCTGGCCTTTCTGCACGCCTTCTTCCCCCTCCTCCTCTTCTTCCTCATTATACTCCTCCTCATCCTCTTCCTCTCCTCCTCCTCCTCCTCCTCCACCCTCCTCTTCCTCCTTCCTCCCTCCTCTCTACTCTCCTCCTCCTCCCTCCTCCTCATCTCCACCCTCTCCTCCTCCTCCTCCCCTCCCCTCCTCCTCCTCCTCATCATCCTCCTCCTCCTCCGTCCTTCTTCCTCTCGTCCTCTTCCCTCTTGAATAACTCCTGCACCACCTCCTCCTCCTTACTCTCTCTCATCCTTCTGTCCTCCTATCCCTCCCCCTCCTACTCCTCTCTCCTCCTCCTCCTCCTCCTACCTCCTCTCTTCTCCTCCTCCTCCTTCCTCCTCTCCTCTCCTCCTCCCTCCTCTCATCCTCCCTTCCTCCTCCTCATCCCTCCTTCCTCCTCCTCCTCCTCCTCTTCCTCCTCCTTCTCCTCCTCCTCCTCCTCCTCCTCCTCCGTCCCTCTTCCTTCTGAATAACTCCTGCATGTCGCACACCGAGACGGGTTGGTAGGGCGGCCCGTCGCATGCACTGATGGTTTACAAGCAAGCCGCAGGCGCCGATTTTTCCTCAAAGCACTGTGGGTGGGTCGCGGGCGGGTCGCGGAGTTGGTCGCGGGTGGGTCGCGGGAGAGTCGCGGGAGGGTCGCGGGTGGTTCACGGGTAAATCGCGGGAGGGTCGCGGGCCGGGTCCCGGGTGGGTCGCCTGTGGATCGCGGGTGGGTCGAGGGCCCGGTCGCGGGTGGGACGACGACAACAAACAACAATCAACGCAACAACAACAATCCGCACCGCAGAACCCCATTTCAACCACGCACCCAATGACAGTGAATGACCGTTCGGCCCCCTCGCTATGACTGTTCTAGGTACTCCACGCGCACATAGAAGCGCAAGAAGGTGTGGCACAGAAGAGGAGGCGAGGAGCTCTGAGGCATCTAGCCTGCATATCGTCGAACCTAGCCACCCACATGTCCACCTCCCCCTCCTCCTCCTCCTCCTCCTCCTCCTCCTCCTCGAGCTCCTCCTCCTCCAGCTCCTCCTCCTCCTCCTTCTCGTCGTCCTCCTCCTCCTCCTCCTCCTCCTCCTCTTCCTCCTCCTCTTTGTCATCATACTCGCCCCTCCTGCATCGTCCCTCCTCTCTCTTCCCCCCTCCCTGTCTTCCTCCTCCCTTCGCCACCCACTTCGATGCCCGCCCTGCCACCTTTTCCTGTTCAGCTGCCAGCTCAGACCACGGGCAGTCGTCCCAAGGCCACCTTTTCCTGTTCAGCTGGCAGCTCAGACCCACATTTTCGCCATTGAGGCGGAAGGGGATCACGAAGACGACCAAATCAATTGGGCGACGAGGGAATTCGCCTATGGGAGTCGCCCCTCAGGACCTCGAAGCACCTTCGACAGACCATGTCCACAGGGCCGTCACCGCTGAAGAGCCGGCCGAAGCGCTGCGACGAGGACACGGAGCGCACGAGCGACGAGGACACGGAGCGCACGAGCTGGAGCTCCTCCGTGCCACCCATCGGGCACATGTCCAGCGACATTGGGAAGACCGCGGCGGCCAGGTCCTGCGGGCTGAGCCTCGCCCGCCACTGCACGCAGGTGGCGCAGAAGAGAAGAGGAGAAGTCAGCGACACGAGCATAAAGTGTTGCAAGCCGCGCGAATTTCTTGGATCGTCGCCGGGCCCCCCTCCCTGGGTGACCCAACGCCGATGCAAAAAATCTGCGCGGAACTCAGAAACAGCATGCTCATTCCGCCTGTTTTGCTCCTCTGGAAGAGCAGGCCGCAGCCCCGGCAGTGGTTACGGCGCCTCGAGAAGCTGAAGTCGCACCCGCAGCCCTTGCACTCGGAGGCCCCCGACTCCCTCAACATGATCACCAGGCCCCCGCCGAGGCGCTGGGGGTTTCTCCTCCCGACGCTGGTCGAGTACGCCTTCTGCCGGGCGAACGCCACCTCGTCGTATCTGAGGGCCCAGCTCCACAGGTGGATGCTCTTGAGCGAGGTGATGGGCAGCAGCATGTCGGTCGCTGCTCCCGCGCGACCAGCAGCGGGTGAGGCGCTGCTCTCGCGATGCGCCATCCTGACCCAGTCTGCCATGTTCGCGCTTTTGGTGGGCAGGAGCTCGGTGGAGGCGTCCTGGCCCTGCAGCCACACGGCCCACACGGAGATCTCGTGGCGCTCCGCACGCGCCAGCCGCGCCTCCCGCTCCGAGTTGAAGAGGAAGGTCCCTATGCCGCCGCACAGGCGCAGGTCGGCCAGAAGTTTCAGGTCCTCGCTGCCGAACTCGAACTCTCCTGGGAACTGGTCCACCACCATGTGCACGCAGAACAGCCACTGCAGAAAGATCGGTGAGGCACGCGAGCCCTCCGTGATCGAGCGCTCCGCAAAGCGGTGGCCGAAGCGCCGCCAGTCCTTCTCCACGAGCTCGCTGAAGCCCTGCCGCGTGCGGAAGCGCTTGCAGGAGAGCAGCTGCGCCAGTGCGCACACCTGTGCCGTCCTTTTTTTTTTTTTTTTTTTTTTTTTTTCTCCTTTTTCAAAAAAATAAAAATAAATCAAAAACAAAACAAAACAAAAAAGCGCACACCTGTGCCGTCCTGTCCCAGCCGTCGCTGCAGTGCACCACCACGCAGGCGGGAGGCGACCCGTCGGCCTCGCCGTCCAGGGCATAGGCCACGCTCACCGCAGACTCCGTGACCCTGCGGCAGTGGTCGTGTTTTCCACCACCACCACCGTGTGTTGGAAGGGGGGGGTTCTCCTCCTCCTCCTCCTCCTCCTCCTCCTCCTCCTCCTACTCCTCCTCCTCCTCACTTATGGTGGTGGTGGTGGAAAACAGGCTCATCACCTGCGGCAGTGGTCCAGCCACATGGTGTCCCCGAGCTTCTGCAGCCAGCTGCGCTCGGCGACGTCGCTCCGGTTCACCAGGTCCTGCAGCGCACCCCAGGAGGACCGCATGTCGTGCATGTTGGGCACGTCGAGCGAGATCACGGTAGCACTCTGCACGTCGCCGCTCCGGAAGCCGCCCTCCCCGATCGAGTAGTCGCGCGGATCCTCCTGGCCGCCCCCCCGGAGGCGATTGGCCGCTGCCGCCACCTGGCTCCTGCAGTCGAAGATGATGAGCGCGGCAAACTGGTGGACCGCCTTACGGCAGAGCTCCAGGTACTCCTTGTCCGTTCCCTGCTTGCCGCCCACGGGCTGGGAGCACCTGAGCAGCGCCGACCCCCTGGCCTGGTGGAAGTACGTGAGCACGGGGAAGCGCTGCTTCGCTCGGCACTTGGCTTCCGCCCGCACCAGGTCGTCTCTCGCCGGCGGTTGCCAGAAGTGTCCCTGGCCCACGATGTCCTCCAGGACTTCCGAGGATGCCCCCGCAGCCCCCCAGGGCTGACGAGGTCCAGAGGGCCCCAGGGGGCTCCAGAGCGAGGCTCGGCAAGCCGGGGACACCTCGGGCCGAGGACCCCCGTGGCCCCCCCCGATCTCGCGCTGGCGGGAACCGCGAGGCTCCGGGGGTACGTGTCGCACACCTCGTAGTTCCAGTTCGCCTCCGTCAGCCGCCACCTGCTCTGCGGGGCGCCCTGCCGCTCGAAGAACTCCGCGCGCGCGTCCTCGCCGATGTCCCAGCCCAGGGTCGGCCGGCCGCACGACTCCACGAACACCGCGCCGGCGTTCGGCATCTTGGCGATGTGCTCCAGGGCACGGCCCATCCAGGACCTCTGGGGGAGGAGGAGGAGGAGGAGGAGGAGGAGGAGGAGGAGGAGGAGGAGGAGGAGGAGGAGGAGGAGGGGCGCAAACATGTCGGCGACGCGCCCAGGCGGAAGGCCAAGGGGGGTGGCCTGCCCAGAAGACTCCGAAGATCCCCGGCCTTCCGAGAAGCGTTCCGGGCCTCCTCCAGAGACCCAGGCGGCTTCTCGGGAGACGGGGGGGGGCTGATGCGAAGTCCCGCCCCGCCGCCTTGCGAGAAGGCCTGCCCCCCCCCCTCCCCAGACCCCCGAGGTTGTGATTTTTGTCACAGCGCCGACCCCAAGGGGTCTGGACCCCACCCTGGGACCAGCGTTTCATGGGAGCGTTATTTTCATTGTTTCGACATTGGGCGGCAAATGGGGGGAGGGGTGGGGGGGCTGGCTCTGGACCTCTGCTCAAAGCGACTGTTTGCAAGAGTGCGGCCTCTGGGGGAGACTTCACCCGCTCGAAACAGGCGCCACAAAAACAGCCAAGATCTACTCCATTGGGTGGGGGGGTGGGGGCCTGCGCCGATCGGCAAAACAATGAATAAAACAACGATCATCCTGAGTCGTGTTTGACGGCCCCGAGGCCCGGTCGGGGCCCCCAGAGGCTGAAGAGAAAACGAAAAATGAACAGGGGCCGGCCGTCCCTGCACTCCTACAATATAGGCCTGCCACGACAGGTTCGTTAGAACCAAGGTTCTACGAACGAAGACAATGGCCGTAGAACATAAAAACCTATGCTTTCCAACAAGACAGCCTCGACACGGGATGCTCGCAGAACACCTCGTGCAGACCGGAAAAGGTGCTCAGAGCGTTCTCCAGTATAGGCAAGCCAGGACGTTTCGAGCGCATTTTTCATTCGCGGCCATAATGGGCGTTATGGGGAGGGAGGGGGGGGGGAGGGTGGGGGGGGGGGCCGGAAGGGGGAGGGCAAAACGTAGCGCCGCCCCCCAGACGCTGGTGCCGGACGCACTGCTGGCAGTGCCAGGGACGCACTGAGGCGGGGGGGGCGTTACGTCATGGGGGGGGGGGGGCAGGGAGCATAGCGCGCGTCATGGCCCAGAGGCGTCCTCGCCACTGCTGGAACACAAAAGAGAAACCCTCCGTCGTGCTTCGTGCTCGCGACGCGAGAAGGCGCATGGTGGGGCCGCAGCACAGCCAGAGCCTGCCGCCCGCAGCAACGCCATTGAGCCTGCTCCTCCTCCTCCTCCTCCTCCCTCGCCCTCCCCCCCCTCCCCCCCCTCCCCCTCCCCCCCCCTCCCCCCCTCCTCCTCTCCATCCTCCTCCTCCTCCTCCTCCTCCTCTTCCTCCTCTTCCTCCCTTCCTCTCTCATCCCTACCTCCTCCTCCTCCTCCTCCTCCTCCCCTCCTCCTCACCTCCTCCTCCTCCTCCTCCTCATCCTCCTCCCCATCCTCCTTCTCCTCATCCTCCTCTCCTCTCCTCCTCTCCTCCTCCTCCAACTCCTCTCACCATCCTCATCCTCCATCCTCCTCCTCCTCCTCCATTCCTCCTCTCTCCTCCTCTCTCCCTCCTCCTCCTTCCCTCTCCTCCTCCCTCCTCATCATCCTCCTCCTCCTTTCTCCTGCTCCTCTACTCTTCTCCTCCTCCCGCCTCCCATCCTCCTCCTCTCCTCCTCCTACCTCTTCCTCCTCCCTGTCCTCCTCCTTCTCCTGCTCCTCCTACTCCTCCTTCCTCCTCCTCCTCCTCCTCCTCCTCCCTCCTCCTCCTCCTCCTCCTCCTGCGCCCCCTCCTCCCTCTCCTCCTCTGCTTCCCCTTTTGGCCCCCGCAGCGCGCCTGGTCGCCCGGCGCCCCGCCGTGCGCGCGCGCGGCGCGGCGCAGGGCGCCGCCGCCCCGAGCCTCTCGGACGCCGCACGGCGTCTTGAGTTTTTGGTGCAAAAGGGCGCCCAGGGACAAACAGCTGAACAGACACGAAGCTCAGGATTCCCCCCCTTTCCCTAGCTGGGTCTTCATCCTCCCTCCACTTCCCATACTTCCTTTCCCCCCATGTCTTCCGGGGAGGGCGCCCAGGGACACACAAATAGACAGACACAAAGCCCAGGATTCCCCCTATATTTTCCAACCAAGACATGATCGCGTCGTGAAAAATCAGGACGGGGAGTTCTTTGCTACTTTCGGCCCGGGGGCCCCTCGCCGGGCCTCGGGACCGCCAACAAAAAAGACTCAGGACGAAAAACCGGTCCCGTGGAAAGGGTCGGGAAGTGCAGGGACGCCGTCCTGAAACAATCAGGGCGTCGCATGTCTGGGTGTGTATATATATATGTGCATTTCACACCTGTATATATACATATGTACATATATATATATATGTATGCATGTATGCATGTATGCATGTATGCATGTATGCGTGTATGCGTGTATGCATGTATGTATGCATGTATGCATGTATGCATGTATGCATGTATGCATGTATGCATGTATGCATGTATGCATGTATGCATGTATGCATGTATGCATGTATGCATGTATGCATGTATGCATGTATGTATGTACGTACGTACGTACGTACGTACGTATGTATGTATGTACGTATGTATGTATGTATGTATGTATGTATGTATGTATGTATGTATGTATGTATGTATGTATAAATGTATGTGAATACATATGTATACACATGTGTATATGTATGTATTATGGGTATTCGTCTTCCCCCCCCCCCCAGTTCCCATAACTTACTTCGCCATCTTTTCCGGGGAATCGATGAGAAATTGTGTCTGTGTGTGTGTGTGTTTTCCCCTCCTGATTTTATCCGTGGACCCGACACCTCCCGGCCTTAGTGTGCCCGTGTGCCCCGGAAGCGACAGGGCCGTTTTGTTACCGGGGCCGTGCTGCTTTTTGCTTGCCCCATCCGACGCCGCTTTTGTTGCCGGTTCCGTCGCCGTTGTGTTGCTCTGGCTCCGGTTCGGGTTCCAACCCTGGAGCCGATTGTGTTGCCCGTTCCGGTCGCCACGTTCTGTCCCGTGCCCATTCTTTAGAGACGCTGTTTCGGAAACCGTGAGAAAGCGGCCCTGCCGCTTCCGGGGCCGACCGAGCTCCCGACCCCCTGCCCACAGGGCCGCTCTCTCTCTCTCTCTCTGGTAACGTGCAGCCGACTCGAGCGGCGTGGGCGCGCGCACAGGCTTTGGACACGGCGCCGATCGCTCCGCCTTGAACCGATCGCGGCCCCGGTCGTTCGAGGCTGCATTTCGTCGGGTCATGTGGCGTCACCGCGTCCCTCGGTGCTCCCTCGTCGTTCCGTCGTGCGGAGTTCAACCTTGAACGCCTTCGCCGGCGGCGCCGACGCGCCATCGCTGCGTACGCGGGAAGTGGAGAGCAAATGGGGGCCTTCGGGTTGGGTTGGGGTGGCTTGGCGGGCGGTGACTGATATCCCTGCATCCGGGTGCCCCCTGGGACCCTTAAGTAGGGCTCCAGGCGGCCCAGAGCCGGAACACCGGCCGCGCGGATCCCCTCCCAAAGTCCAATCGAGCGTCTGGGGTTCTCCTGGGGTGGAACGACTGGAGACGCACGAGGACATACACTGTGCGTCCTCCTCGGAGGCGTGCGCCCGACCCGAACATGTAGAAGAACCATCTTGTCGTACACCGCTTCGAGCGTCCGCCACGGATCTTACAGTTTAAGATTTCTCCCGGCGTCGCCCCCGGGGGACGACGCACACACAGGAGTATAGTTTGCTGGGGTGACGCCGACGACAGGGGGGGCCAGCCCAGGGGGGGGGGTAAACATCGACAGCGATAGGCCCCCGATAGAGAGCCCAGGGGTCGATGCACCTCCCCAGACATGCGACGTCCTGACTTGTCTTGACACGCGGTCCCCGGAAGTCCCGACCCCTTCCCTGGGGCTGGTTCCTCCTCCTGGATCGCTTCCTCCCTGTCCCGGGGCCCAGCGGGGGCCCCCCCCGAGGCCGAGAAGGGGGCCCCGCGAGGGGCCCGCTCGAGCTCTCTTTTGTCGCGACGCGACCGCGTCTGGGACTGCTGGGACTTCCCCCGTGAGCCCATCCCCCGCTGACGTTGACCCCGACTGACCCCCAGGAAGCATTTAAGAACCCCCCCGGCGATATCGTAGCACCGCATTTTCTATTCGATATTCCGAAGGGCCGAAATCCGCCGGCCCCCTTGTGGGGCCACCAGGCTGTAGGCGCGGGTTCGCAGTTTCCTGTACCAGTTGTAGCTTGTAGTTTCCAGTGTTACAGTTCTGCTTCTTGCTGGTTACTGTAACTAGTTGATTGACCGCGCGAAGGGGGGGGAGGCCCAAACAAGATTTTTAGCGTCTCCTGGGCGCGTTGTCTGAATTGCTGGGGGGGCTCGAAATCGACACCCCTCACGCAGATCCGCGGGGTCAGGGTCCAAAAACACATGGGATTTGCCACATTTCTGAAATTAGGTGCCACCCCTCACGCAGATCCGCGGGGTCAGGGTCCAAAAACACATGGGATTTGCCACATTTCTGAAATTCGCTGCCACCCCTCACGCAGATCCGCGGGGTCAGGGTCCAAAAACACATGGGATTTGCCACATTTCTAAAATTCTGTGCCACCCCTCATGCAGATCCGCGGGGTCAGGGTCCAAAAACACAAGGGATGTGCCACATTTCTGAAATTCAGTGCCACCCCTCACGCAGATCCGCGGGGTCAGGGTCCAAAAACACATGGGATTTGCCACATTTCTGAAATTAGGCGCCACCCCTTACGCAGATCCGCGGGGTCAGGGTCCAAAAGCACAGGGGATTTGCCACATTTCTGAAATTCGGTGCCACCCTTCATGCACATCCATCGCAAGGCGTGGTAACCCAAACTGCGAGAACTCCCTCGGCCCTTTAATCGCAAGGTGTGGTAACCAAGCCCGTAAACCATACACGTCTTACCAATCGCCAGGTGTGGTAACCCCTCTTGTGATCAGTTGGTTTTGCTGATTGCGAATCGGCTTCGCATGAAGTTTCGATACTGCTTCACGACAGCGCCA